TTTTTTTTTTTTTATTATATTATCTAATATATTTTTTTTATTTTTTAGTACTCTATAAAGAAGGACCACCTTTCTTTCACGCATCTTATATTGTCATAGTCGAAGTAGCAAATGCAGACTCCTTAGTTATAGATTCTACTCTATCTACAAGATCCACATGGAACAGTTTGTTTGGATTGCAAAGGCTCTCCGAAAACGCTGCCAAGGTATAAACAATTGTATATTTATATAATAATTTAAAATATAAATACACAATCACATATCATTTTTCTTACACATTTTCTTATTGACTACTGTTTGGACAATAGGAGATACTCTTTGCGCAAGTTTTATGGCCATCATCGGTACCGCGGGATATCAGTACAACTAGCCCCGAAATACTCTCCGAATTCACAGTGAGAGAATTACTTTGGCGTCGATGGAATCCGAAGCAGCACCGTGAAGACGTCCCCACCGAGGATGAGGATTCATGTTGAAGGTTTTTTTTAAATATTTATATTTTAGAAATTCTCACACAACAAATTCGCTCTACTTATATATATTTTATTTCATATATTAACTTTTTTACCGCACTGCGGTAATATTACGCTTGTATATATGTATAATTTTTTTTACGAGAACTTTGTATATATACATATTGCAAATTAAAAGGCAGATTACATGTAATCGTATCTCATCATGATATGGTAAGAAAAGTTTCTTCTTAAAATAAATTCGCAATTCTCCTCAATCCCGCGATATAATCGTATGAGAGATTTTCACATCTTACAACAATATATCGCACACACAATCGATGATTGTGTGTGTTCTATAATAATGTAGTAATAATTATATATAATATTTCGATAATACAAAAAGAATTGTATATAAGATATTATGACGTCCCAAAATATTTATTTCGGTGTCTCGACTATTAGATATCAATATTAAAATACATCGAGATTATTACGAGATATCGAGATATTTTTAGTAATGAAATGTCAATATCGGAAACGTGAAATACAATAGTAAGAAAATGTCAAGAGTACGAGGGGTATTTGAATGTTACATACAATTAAATGTGTGTATATGTATAATATCTATGCGTAACTGAACACACTACTACATATAAACTTGATTCATGACTTATATGAATTTTATACAAAGCATCGCGCGAGTAGCAGCGCGCATTAAGTCGTATCGAATCCGTGTCTTTTATCAGCGATCAACGATTCACGCGGCGGTACCGCTTGCGGTACTCGCCAAGTGAAAGCAAGCGGCGATCGCGAGGGCCCGCAACGGTGGTCTCAGGTCCTCGGGCCCCGTGCAGTCAGTCCGAGGTGAGCTGGGAGCTGGCATGTCGAGTACCGTGCACCGCGAGTTGTCAGCGAGTTGAGCATCCCTAAATCACGTAAGCCTGGAATAACGTTCCTCGTGATCCGGTACGTACAGAACCGACGGATATTCCTCAATGTTATCCCTGTCAATCCTGTCCCATGTGACAGGACAAGTGTCAAAAGTTTCTGTGCTTGTGTCATTTGGGATCTATGTGTCTAGCGCGAAGTATATAAATAATAGTATCTTGATTTTAATAAGAACATACATTTTATTCTCTCTTTTATAATTTATAAAAATTTGATTAATTTATATTCTCCGTCAAAAAAATCTGAATTTTATTTATATATTTAAAGAAATATTTTTTTGCTACATTTTTTCAAATCTAATCAATTTAAAATGAAATATTTTATACTATCGATCTATCTATCATCAATATTAATTATAGCTAATGAAGTTAATGAAATTAAAGCTGAAATAATTCTCCGTTCGTTTTTTTAGTCGCGTCTATAAAAAAGTCAGAATAACTATAATTAACTTCAACTAATGTTTATGAGAATAATCTCTTAAGATAAATATTCAACGGAAATATTATAAGAGTGACTTTACAATTCGTAATTGTGTTTATTATGATGCGAGATTGAAAGGACGCAGATTTCTTTATGTTTTAATTATTAGATTTTTTTAAGGCTAAATCGTAACAATTCTATTTATTTTTAACCTATCATAATATAATATTTTAAATCTAGTTTTTTTATTATGAATTATATATAACTCAGGAATAAAAAGTAAAGTTTTTATTTTGTTTTATTATTGTATATCTTCTCTCTGACTCATAAGAGTCAGAAAAAAGATATACAATAATAAAATATTCGAGGATAAACAAACATACGATGATCAGAGCAATCAATGAATAAAGAATCGTGTCACTTTCATATAGGTTGAACACGAGAGAAAGCGCGACTTCGCGAGAGAATGTTCGTCCGTATTTGCGCTTAATTTATAGGAAGAGAGATGATGCGACGCGCGAAATCTTCTATTTAAACTCAGCTACAAGAAAGATTGAAACGAATTTCTGCTATTTTATTAAAACTTTCGATATGAGATAGAGAATTGAGGGCATCCATATATTAGTATGGTTTAATTCACTTTTTTAAGAACCTAATGAAATTAATTTAAACTTTGTGTTGCGATTTCCTCAATCGTAATATTAATTCTCTCAGATTATTAGGAAAAGAATATTTTGCGCATTTTTGCTTCATTTTTTGATTATAAATGTTCAAAAGAGTCACAGTAAAAATAGATTTTTTAATAAAATTTTAATTATAATGCATCATTCGATATTCATTAACTTTACGATACTGAACTCTAAGTATTCTCTACTTTATACAATATAAGAATAGTATCCTTAAAAAAACGCGCGTAACTTTTAAAATTTAGTTTTGGCTTACTAATTAAAAAATAAACGTCGGCGTGAAAAAATTGTGCGAAAAACGCATATGCATATCTTAGAAATATCATTTATAAACGTTTAGCGCATCGTAAATAGAGACATGAATGTCATCCTCGTCTCACGATATGCCTGGGAATTCAGTTGCATCCAATGCGGCAATGAATAATCTTATTGCCAGCCACAATAAAATCACCCGAAGCGAAATTTCGAGCAAGTCATTTTCAACCTTTATAATTGCCATTAGCAGGGGAAAGGGAAACTCTCGAGACGAATTGACTAATTAATTGATTAACTTGATTGAAGAATTAAGTTTTACGTATGATGAAGATAAACTGATCTAAGAGACTAGGATATGTAATTATATTATATTTTTTT